GTTGTCCACTAACACACGGCACCTGCCTACTCATGGCTACTGCTGCTTCATGGCTCTGTTTCCTGCCTTCTCTTTATATTTCTTTTAGCTCCAGGGTCACTCTACCATCTGAATTACTTTCTTTGTGTCTTCTAATGGAAAATTGAATGGCTGCCTTCTATTCATTCCTTTAGATTAGGATGTCAGAGATACAAGATACAACGCACAGCTCTCCTATATTAGCAACGTTGCAGGACAGTCTTTCCTTAGGACACTGTGGACATACATAGTTGGCACTTGGGGCTCCATCGCATTTTTAGTGTGGACGTGGACTTCTGCCATTGTTATGGCTCTTTTCTACCTTCAGCAGTGAGAGGTGAAATTAGCAATGGAATCAGCTAGGCTGTCACTGTTCCTATTCAGTCAGCAAGAGGCTTGCCCTTAGATGCACCCTCCAAACTGACCTTGGTGATATTTACTAAGCAGCCACCGTGAACTTGAGGTTGGCATCGGTGACTTTGATGACAATATCAGGATGGATACCAACTGGACTCTTAAGTAACACTTCTCAATACAAGCAAGTCTGTGTGAGGAAGTGGATTTTGCAGAGACTCCCTGGCAAAACTCAAGATACTCTTTGGAATCCAGGAAATTTTGCCAAATCAATTAGAATGCCAAACCCTTTTTCTCAGATCTCTCCTTGCCTCTTGTTTAGGGTAGTCATTTTGGTAGAATAAATCCCATGGTTGATTTTGATTTTTGTTACCCTCTCTTCCATAGCGTCTACTCTCTGAGGCCAGCCTGACTAACAGTTTTCCCAACGTTAAAATGTGAGTTCTGCTCACTGGGCTTGACAGTGGTCTGCTGTGCTTGAGTTACAAATCCTTGTTATGCTCCAGGACACCTATGGGGGGGTATTATCTGTTAGATGACATCAGTTCCCATGAAAAGGTTGATATGGGCCACATCTATACCTTTAACTAAAGCAAAGTCTTCTATCTTTACGAAGCTTCTCAGGGAGGAGTTCTCACTGGCAGTAGGGTAAGCGGCAGCAGCAGCAGGTAACAGTGTCAACAGGACTCTGCACTCGGGTCCTCTGTCTCGTTCAGGAAATGACTGGACGACAAAGGTCGATTTCCATCTGCACCAACTTACAACTGTTATTATGAATAAAGCAGAATTCATCTGTGGGATTTTTTAACTACTTAAAGTTGTTTATTACACTTTGTGACTTCAGACCACTGCCATCGCTCACATTAATCATTTTCTAACCAGTCATTGTGCACACCGCCCCTCCAGCCTTGCTCCTCTCCAAGTCTATCAAAGTTGTAGCTAGAATGAAAATCACATCATGTCACTCCCTTGCTTAAAGAGCTTCAAGAGTGGCCTCCTGGTTGCCATCAAAATGAAGGACAATGTGCTCAAAACCCTTTGGAATCTGGTGCTCCCCTAGCTCTGTAGTTGGGTTCTCAGCCCTTTGCTCCTAGGGCTCTTCCCATCCTAAACTTTCCCCATTCCCTCATTGTGTGTTCTCTCTTACTTCTGTACCTTGGCGTGTTCTTGTCCTGCAGCTCTCTCAAGAACTTTATCCAGACCACTGCCTACACCTGACTGTGTGGGGAATTTCCTTCCCTGGCTTCCCTGCACCGGTTGTTTACCCTAGTTGTAGCACATCCCACTGTGGATGTCCTCTTCTTCCCACTGATCTGCAGACTCCTTGAAGTATGGCCAGCTTGTTCAGACCTGTATTCCCAATGCCTGAATATTCCTTACTACATAGTAGGAATTCATGAATATTTGGGGGGTGAATGTGAGATTTAAGGTAACTTGTTTGTTGAAAAAGTTTATTTTTTCATTTTGTTTAAATGATGTACTAAAGTACCTGCTTTTTAACATAAGCAGTACATTGAATCAGAGTTTAGATGTTTGTAGAACTTTCTTCTCCTCACATACATTATCACATCAATCCATAGAACATCACATTGCCTTCTTATCAAACAGTTCTGCACTTGTGGAAAAGACAGTATAGACCGACTCAATTCCCTGTATCAAAAGGCAAACTAGAGCAATATTGATTACGATTTCTTCTTTGCCAACTGTAACTTTCAAAACACCCCAACAGAGTAGAAAACACTGCTCGCCATCAGAGCCCAGACAGACCCTCTGCTGCAGGCAGCCTGGCTTGGAAGGGAAGACATGTCACCCCCTTTCACAGCATGATGATTTGTGGCTGAGAAGGGAGAGGCTGCTCTCTGAACCACATGCCCCCTGGTGCAGGCAGGCTAAAGAAAGATGAATGGCATTATAAGACAGACATCTGAATGTTTCGTATTAAATTAGTCCCACAGAGCGCCCCAAATTCTCATTCCATAAATCACTAAGTAAAGTAAACTCACTCCCAGGTTAGATTGCTGTGACTTTGGCCTATGGTGTAATAGATAATCTGAAAACAGTTAAACATTTGTCTGAAATAGTAATAATTTTCAGCGTATTTACTCAGTGGTGTAGAGGTGACCCAGGCTGATCTCTGCTGCCAGAAACAGCATGTAAATGGGAGTCAGCCAATTTAGGAGATTTCCAAACAGGAGTCACTGCTCTTCACACCCCCTCACCTACTCTGAAACTGCCACAAGCTCCTTCAGGAGCTCTAGGTCCCAGGGGCCCAGATGAACAAATGTCCCTGCACTCTAGAATAGGTACAAAAGAGCATTGATGTACCCCATCCCTTCAATAAATTGCAGTTACAATTTGAAATCCACTTTAGAATACACTTTCACCTTGTGTTGGTCTAAGAATATCCTTGGCTTTATTCTGGTTCTTCCATTCCTGAGCTGACATTGGGTGTACTTTGGACACTTAATAGAACAGATGAACATTGGATTGGGGTTCATGAGACCATCCAATTCAATGCTAACAGGCTGAGGGACTGTCTAAGCTGCTGCTTCCTCTCCTAGAAAATTAAAAGGGCAGGTTCTTTAATCTTTAAAGTAACATGCAGCTTTGAAAGTCTGATTTTAATTCAGTGGCAGGATATGATTGGGCAAAAAGAGTTGTGGCAGCCTGAATTCCAGATGATTCCTGAAAGTCCATCTCTTCCTTAGTAGGGCTTTTCTACAGGCATTCATTAGGATCTGTATCCCGGATCACCTTCACCCTTAGAAGCCCGATTTGAATTTCACCAGAGCGACAGAGGGAGGTCACATGGCTTTGTGGTAGCCGAGGACTAGAGGTAGCCTAGGGCTTATGTCTTAGTCCATTTTGTGCTATTAGAATTCCTGAGACTAGGTGATTTATAAAGAACAGAAATCTATTTCTTACAGTTCTGGAGGCTCAACATCCAAGATCAAGATGAAGGCACTGGTATCCAGTGAGGTTCTTCTTACTGTGTCCTCATATGGCAGAAGGTAGAAGAAGGGCAAGAGAAAGCAAACCCACTCTTGCATGCCCTTTATATAGCAGCATTAATTCATTCATGGGGGTAGAGCCCTCATTACCTAAACACCTCTCAAAATTCCTCACTTCCTAGCACTGTTGTATTGGGGATTAAGTTTCCAACACATGAATTTTGGAGGACACCTTCAGACCCTAGCAGCCACCACATCAAAGTAGCACAAAATGGGTGGCTTAAACAACAGAAGTTTATTGTCTCACAGCTCTGAAGGCTGGAAATCCAAGATCAAGGTGTCAGCAGCACTGGTTCCTTCTGAGGCCTGTGAGGAAGAATCTGTTTCATGCCTTTCCTGAGCTTCTGGTAGCTTGCTGGTGCTATGGTCTGAATACTTGTGTCCTTGAACTCACACTCAAAATCTAATCACCAGTGTGATGGCATTTGTAGGTGGGGCCTTTGGGAGGTGATTAGGTCATGAAGGAGGTGTCCTCATGAATGGTATTAGTGCCCTCATAAAACAAGCCTAAGAGAGCTGTCTTGCCCCATCCATATGGGAAGACACAGCAAGAAGGTGCCATCTCTGAATCAGGAAGCAGATTCTCACTAGATACTAAATCTGCTAATGCCTTGATCATGAAATTCCCAGCCTCCAGAACTGTGAGAAATAAATTTTTATTGTTTCTAAGCCAGGCAGTCTAATGTATTTTGTGATAGCAGCTCAAAAAGACTCAGACAAGTGCAATCAGGCAAGTGCAAAAAGACTCAGAAGTGCAATCTTTGGCACTTCTTGGCCTGGAGAAGCATCACTCCATCTCTACCTTCATATTTATGTGACATTCTCCTGGTGTGCTTGTGTCCAAATTTTCCTCTTTTTATAAAGACACTAGTCTTATTGGATTAGGAGCCCATCCTGCTCTAATGTGACCTCATTTTAACTAATTACATCTGCAATGACCCTATTTCTAAATTAGGTCACATTCTGATGTGCTGGGAGGTTAAAACTTTGACATGTGAATTGGGGTTGGGGGGCACAATTCAACCCATAACAGTCAATAACAAAAGTCCCAAACCTCACACACTTAAGTACTTTGTCTGAGTCCAAGTGCCCTACCATTAAAGATCACAGCATTCTTTCCTGATGGCATGTCTCTTTCTCTTTTATGTCTTTCTTGTTCCTCACTAACACTGAAGTCTGATATTAATGGAAAAACCATTAAAAAAAAACTATTATCCTATGAGGTAAAGTGAATGCACTCAACTGTAAAAGGAAGACTTACCGATCAATTTTAGTTAAACCTTGCTTGTCTGACACTTTGCAGCTAAGGAATGTGTTTTTATTGCCTGGCCAGATAGTTCAGATTTCCGGTCAGTCTTAGTAAAGACCCCTTTTATAACATTGATAAAATTTTATCACAGAGCTATGAAAACAAAATTAGATTTCATAACTCACATCAGGCCTTGAAGGGGATGCCTCTATAAATTTTACAAACCTTATCAAGCTTTAATGCACCTATTCTGATAATTTTTTAAAATAGCAACTTCTACTGAACTTTGTATATACATATATATATAAATAAGTATATAAATGTGTGTGTATGTATATATATATTTTTTTTTTCTCTCCACTTTACAGGAAAGAAAACTTTCTTCACCTATGTGTAGACAGAAGTCTGTGACAGAAAAACCAATTATTTAGATTGCTGAAGACTCTCTGAATTTAAGCAAATCCACTTCTGAAAAAGAAAACTGGATGGTTTATTTTAAAAATTTACTCCTAAAATCTATCCTTCAAAATACCTCAATTTTTCATGAGCATATTTTGAAGAATAAATATTGACAATATATATCCACAGTATCATTGGAAACTATGTCATAATCAAGGGCATTGTTAGCCACAGAGATTTTGTATTCTAGTGAAATCCTATATACATTCTGTAGCTTTTCTAGTGTATAGAGTGGCCTATTGGGGAAAAACTGCATGCATATTAAACATGTTTTGTCTCCTCAACTAGATGGTAAGTGCCTGGAGGGTGGAACCTTGGGGGACAGGGCTCTACCCACAGGGCTCATTGATGCAGCCGGTCAATCCCTCTTCACAGCAACATGATGGGAAAATGAGGTTCAGCCATCTTCCACTCTGTGCTGGGCCACAAACCCAAATTACAGCAGTACAGTGGGAATAGAGGATCTGCTTTATAGACTTTCCTTTCAGTCAGCTGTTCAGGAACTACAATCTTCATAGTCAAAATAAATGGAGCTATGGTTGAATAGTCCTTTCTGCTTTTCAGAGGCAAGAAACACTTCTCAAAATTGTGCAAATGAAATAAATGTCATGGTATAAACTAGATATCTTATATTCTTAAAATATATCTTTGGTGATTATACATTTTTGTTTTAAATGGCAAGTTTGAAGAAAAATCCAGAAATTATGTGGAAGTACTAATAAATGAATTGACAATATGTGAAACTTCAGTAGATAATTATGAAACAGTTCTCAAGCTGTTTTGGTACATATACTCCTTTGAGAATCTTTTAAATAGCCATAATCTCACAAAATGCACATACAAAAAAAGTTTTTCATACCATTTTATGAAGTTCACAGAGGTATAGGGGAACTTTCCAAATAAAGAAGTTCTGATTTAAGAGAACATATTTCTGATTTCCATAATCCTTAAGGTTTAGGAGACATATAATCCACACTTCTCAAATGGAAGATTTCAAAATACACATCAGATGAAGCAGACTCTAACTTTCACTGTGGTGATATGTTGTTTTGTTATATTCAAAATCAATAAACCATGAAGATTTCTTAGCATCTTTGGGTGTGATTTTTGCATCTAGGAATCTTAAGTGGGAAAAGAGAAGGAAATATAAACTTCCTCAAACAGTGTTCTTAATTTTGGATATTCCTTGGAGAAAACCCTATTACCTGGAAGGAAAAAAGCTAATTAAGTCGACATTTCTCACAACCACAAAGCCATTTTACTTGCTTCTCTTTACAGGCAGAAGGAATACATGCTGTTTTCCTTTTGTCTGTCAGGAGAATAATAGGGAACACCGACAGGCCTGGCATTTGGGGACTGAAACTGGGCAGAACAGTGGCCATGTCAGGAACCTGCATGGAAATCACTGCTATTTGGCCATAGAAAACTAGGGCATCTTGGGTTGGAACTCCCAGCTACCTCCACTGCTGCACTTTTTGTATATTTATCTTTTGTGGTGATGTTAAATGTTTGGATAACTTTCTGATCATTTTATTACAAGTCATGTTACAGCTGTACTTCAGTTAACTTAGTTGAAGTTTACTATTCTCTCAGTCAGAAATCCTGTGCAAAGTGCCTTCTAACTGCTTTTAAGGTATTATTTAGAAACCTCCTTAAAACTGTTAAATTTTTATAAGAAAAATTTATTGCATTATGAATGAATATCATTGTCATTCGCTAGAGTTATCAAATTAGGTAAGAGCAGTAGACTAGGAGCCGGAAGATGCCCTGCAAGTCTGCTGTTTCTCTTCTCTGCTTGTTCCCAGAGCTCAGCATGGTGCCTAGAACACAGTAGGTGCTTATTAAATCTTTGTGAACTATCAAATGAAGAGCTGAGTTCCAACACTGGTTTATGCTTTTTACTACCTATGGGACATATCTATTTTCTCATCTGTGAAATTAGAAAAGTAATATTTCCCTCTAGCCCCCAAAAGTTGGTTTTTGCAACAGATGAACTGAAGCATGGAAAAGCTAGTTTTCTTCATTACTCTTCAAAAATTATAGCTGGGCATGGTGGCGCATGCCTGTAGTCCCAGCTACTCGGGAGGCTGAGGCAGAAGGATTATTTGAGCCCAGGAGTTTGAGGTTGCTGTGAGCTAGGCTGACGCCACGGCACTCACTATAGCCTGGGCAACAAGCGAAACTCTGTCTCAAAAAAAAAAACAAAAAAAAAATTAGTCATATGTTCTGTAGAGGCAGAAAAATAACTTTCTCTCTACTCTTCTGAGTTCTTAGCTGGTATGGAACACTCTAACAAAAGATGGATTAACAAGAGAAAAACAAACAGAAGTTTATTAGCATGTATACCTCATGTATACATGGGAGATACCTAAGAAATGAGTATGTCTCCAAGAGGTGGCCTAGATTTCAAGCTTAAATCCCATCTTCAACTAAATCAAAGAAAGAAGGGTGTGGGGAAAACAGTTAAAAGGAAATGACCAGGGTTGTCAGCAGGGACTGTGTCCAGCAGGAAAGATCACAGGTGCTAGAGCCAATGAAGAGTAGCTAGGAAGCCACCATCTGTGTATCAGGCACTATGCTAGTTCTTCATTGACTTGTTTAAATCCTCACAACTATTATTAGCTCCATTTTGCAGAACTGGAAACTGAGACACTGATGTCAAGTAACTTGCCTTAAGTCTCATAGCTAAGAAGGGGCAGAGTGAAGGCTGATGCTAAAAGCCTGGGCACTAAACCCCTACACTAACCATTGTCCATTTATTCCTTCCAGAAATATTTATTTATTGAGCACCTACCATGTGCTAAGTATTAATACTTGTAATCAAGTTCAATGTGACATTAAGCATATGACCTTCCTTTGTGTCAAGAGAAAAGAAAGTAGTGGAGGAGAAAAACAAAAAAGAGAAGATGAATACAGATGAATACAAAGTGTACTTGTTTCTTTGATTGAACTCAGGAGAAGCAAAATTTTTTCTTTTCTTTTCTTTTCTTTTTTTTTTTTTTCTACCACTCTCTGAGCTTCTGGAATCTCTCTGCTCTCTGTTTGAACTTGAGCAAATATAAAACTTATATTTTCTCTGTTCCTGGAGCTTTCAGAATCCTAAAACATTTGGTTTAGATTAAATCCGTTGACTGAGGCATTATAATTCGACTACGACAGAGATGATCCCATCAACCATCGCCTTATCTAACCTAACTGCTTATTACAGTAACAGAGTACACTAGTCAGGGGGCGAGGGCAGGTCCGGGGGGAGAAGGTCACTCAGGTTTATCAGCCACATGTACATAGCAGGGTGGTGTCCTTATAGAATGGAGAGGAATGGATTCATAAAATCCAATCAGGAGCATGTGTGTGCATTTATATGAGCCATTTTTTTTTTTGCCTGAATCTAAATTATAGAGATTTTAATAGCTCCAGTAATTAGACAAGTATGCAGTCAACCCCATTATGTTCCTGTGTAATGTCACACTCCCTAGGGCCCACCTTCCCTGCTTGCTGGGCTCCCTGCATGGGCCCCCTTCCCCCTTATTTTCTACCATAGGGAGGCGGTTTTCTTTTCAAAGAGCTTACTGTTCACATTGTTTTTATCCCCTCAATCCGGAGGTTGGATTTGCTTTCTCAGGGGTTTCACCATTGCATTGCCCAGTTGTGTAAGAAAAGGACAGAGCAGGTTCTGGCAGTTCATTTGCATCCCCACAGTGCCTGGTGCCGAGGAGCACAGAGGATTCCATAACTTGAGAAGGGACTTAGCACAATGCCTGGCACAAGGTAAACACTTCCAAATTGTTTACAACTGAGTGTATTGTAAAAAACGTTTGATAATTCGATTATTGACCTTAAAGGGACAGAACAAAATCCCCATATCCACTATCTCAAATCCTGGACCCTTTTGTAGAAAACTGCCTTTCTGTTTCCCCGATTGCCTCTCATTATTTTTTCCCTCTTGTATTTTGCAACTTTCTATTATCCATTTTAATACTTCACTTCATCAGCATAGATAATCTCCCTGCAGGAGCTGAGGACTGTATCTTGATATATAGTAAGCATCTTGGATTTTTCTTATTGCTATTTCTTCTAGAACTAAGAAAAATCTTTGATAACTTAAAATTAAGGACAGGATGTTCTGTGTTACTAAAATGATGCAGTTTATCTAATTAAGAGATTGACTTTTTTCCATATGTAAATACTGTACATATTTTTCTAGGGCCTGTCAGAAAGCAGTTTTCATTGCTATTTGCTTTTTGGTATTTTTTCATAAAGATATTCTCAAGAATAGTTAAAGAAAGATATGTGGAATTTAATATCCTGAGGTCACCTTTTCCTATTCAGTCCCTCCCTGCCAAAAAGAAAAAAAAATCAAAATTAACTATCTTTCCTTTACAAGGATCTAAAAGTTTTTCCTGAAAGCAATGCCAGAAAGTCTGTGAAATTGCCCCCCACCCATCTAGAAAAAAAAACCAAAAAATCCCCCAAATAGCATAAAATAAAATGTTTAAATGATGCTTGTAATTGACTTAGTTGTCTTTGGCAAATTGGTGTTCTCTTTTCTCTATGGAGTGGGTATCAGACAGACAGAAACTGTGGTGTAGCAGTGGTAGAAAGACGAAAGTCAGCAACGTTTCCTAAAACTATATCTAAAATCTTTTCTCCTGAGAAGAATAAAAGGATAATGAGCTGGGGTATTTTTAAAGGATAATCACAATTTACAACACAAATAAATTTAGTTTTAAAATATGTGTGTGTTTTTGGCTCTAATGACTGAAAATGTTAAGCTAAATATTTTGCTTAAGCAAGGAAAGACGAAGGGGCTATATGAGCAAATTAGAATGCAGAAGCTGCCTCAGCCACCAGTTTCCTCTAGAAGAGAATGGCTAATTCATATGCGTTGTATTCTCAGCTCTCCTTGGGAGAAAGAAAGACTGCCCCTGGAGGAGCCCAACTATTCAGCATTTTGCTGCTGGTCAGGATTGATTCCAGATGTGGGAGGTAAATGCTAGAAAGAGTTTGGAAAATGGAGTGGAAATGAAAAATCCCTCAGGCCATTTGAGTGCTGATGACAGATGAGGTAGGTATTTTCAGGTAACTAATGAACTTGCTGGGAGCCTGGAGAGTGCTCAGTGGATATTTAACAGGCAGGAAAGACCCAGCTGAGATGCACCAATACCGCCATGTACTGTGCACCCAAAACTGGGGGAATCATGGAGTCCTGAAAGTAACACATAAGTATCAAAAGCTAAGACATAGCAACTCTGTAAATAAGCTGAATTTAAGTCCTTTCCTAAAGCTAGTTCAAAATTTGTGAATGTCTGTTTTTTTTTCAACTTCTCATTATTTGATTTATCATGACTATTTCATTATCTGAAGAAATACTGAAAAAGTTCTCACAATGTGTAAGTCAGTAAGGCAGAATAAGAGACAGAACAGCATAGTTATAATCATAGGTTCCGGAGTGACCCAGACGTGGGTTTAAATATTGGTCCTGCCACTTGCTAACTCAATCTGAGCAAGTTATTCTCAGTATCCTTGTCTGTAACATGGTTATAATACTAGTATTTATTTTAGATGAATTGTAAGAATTAATTGAGGTGATGTATGTAAAGCATTTAGCCTAACACTTAGTCAATGCTTGATAAATGTAATGCTAACATAATAATTTTTGTTATTTGAGGAATGGAGGTCAGACCAGGAGGAGAAACATAATCTCAGCATGAAAAAAATGTAGTCTCTGCTAATGAGGATTTTATGATTTGCAAGCCATTCATGTCATTAATAGATACTTGCTATTTGCAACTTTAATATTGGCATTTCAATTAGAGTTCTTGGTTGCAAGCAAGAGAAATCTAGAATTCACAACACAAGCAACAAGGAGATCATATGAAAGATAAAGGGGGGAGGGTCACAAAACTGAAGGGTACCAGAGAGCAAGCCTTTGATATGGACAGGGAGCCCAAGAAGCTGAAAGCAGGAAGCAGAGCAGGAGACAAAGAAACCTCCAGTGCCCAAGGCAGCTAGAAGACAGGTGAGTGACTTCCCATTATTTGTCTTAGTCCCAGATCCACCAATTTCCAACATTCCAAGTCTCAGGAAAGGAGAGCATGCCCGATTGGCCAGGCTTAGTTTATGTGCCCAAACTCTGGCTGCATGAGAGGACAGGGAAAGGAAAGATATGCAGAAGATGAGCCCCTGAGATTACCCTCTCACCGCAGTCACAGCCACAAGGGGAAATTGGGTGACTATAGAGAAGGACAGTGTATACTGGTAGCCAAAACTCACAAATGTCCATCCTTACTGATCCAATCTTCTATAACACTTGGCCAGAGTTTTTGCTTTGTTTCAAGCCATGCTCTTGGGTATAATGACCATGCTGCTCAGGTCACACTCCCAAGTTCTAAAAGCTGAAGAAGACTTAAAGGCAAACACCAGTTTCTTTTGAGTGAAAGCAGAGCTCAGACTCCATCTCCAACCTCTGCTTCTCCAT